TATATTGATGTCCATGATATATGTATATTGATGTCCATGATATATGTATATTGATGTCCTCCAGTAAAGTAGCTTCATATGAAGACATTATATTGTTAATGTTTGGAAGGACAAATTGGGAAATTAGTTTGTGTTAAACTTTTAACTAGCCAGATATAGTTTGTAGCTAGATATTTGTGTTTTCAGAGATTTAATGCACAAGAGATGTAATTTACGCCAGTGTGTATGAAAATCAACGATTCCTGATAATTTTTTATAATATGTTTTCCTGAAATTGAGTCAATGAGAAGGGGTTCAGTTTTGTTTATGCTAATTCCCATGTTGGTATGTCATCTGTTAAACATTTTCTTGTTGTCTTTAAATTTTATTTGTATTCATTAAATGAAGAATTAACCATAAAACTTGTCCCGGTTTTGACTGATGATTTTAACTCCAGTTTTTTTCTCTTTCAAATTCAACATTTGAAATATATCTCCACAACAAGCTGAAACTTATCAAGCTCACATGGTTGGTAATACTTAGAAACCAGCACCAGAAGGTGTATGTAGTCTATCTAGGTTCTAATTTTTTTTATTCAAATGTGATCTTACTTTATTTTCCTATGTTGTTATTTTAGCATTCATTTGGGTAGTTATGATTTTCTTCAATATTTTCAGTATTACAGTTATGATACTATGAGGACCTAGCACGAGAAGCGGTTAATTAAGATGAACATATGTCACAACAAGAAGCCATACTTGAGTTCCATGGTTGGCGCTACTGCAGAGGTCGTCCAGAAGAATAAAAGTGCAAATTCGAAGCCTGAGATTGTAGGACATTTACATTGTCCCTCATGTTGAGAGGAGTAGAAAGGTTGTGTCCATCTCGTTCTTTTTTGCTTATTTGGTTCCACATAATAATTGATACTCAAATGAGTGATTGACTGATTGTATCATTGTATGTATTCTCATTGTATGGGTACAAAGAAGTACATGAAGATGATGATGCTAAATAGTATGAGAGTTTCATTGAAGAGAATGAAGTCTAGATTCAAATATGATGAATTGGACAGCGTGTGGAGATGCATCTAAAGAAGAAGAAATGATAAGAACAAAGTTCAATAATATAATAGTTGTAACAAATTGAAATAATAGCTTGAACAATATTTTTGTCATGATACTTTTGTACATCTTTTTTGTTTCACTTTGTTGCATCAACTTGTTATTTTTTGTTTCATCGTGTTGCTTTATGTTGTATCATGTTGCTTATTGTTGCATCGTATTGTTTATTCTTGTTTTTGTTGATTTTGATTCTTTTGTATATTTAGGATTCTATTGATCTTTGCTACTTCTTTGGAATAAAAACATATATAAACATATATACAAATACCTAAAATGATAAATTTAATTTGGGTTTATCAATACGAAAACAAGAAAAAACATAAAGAAACATAAAGAAACAATAAAAAACAAAAAACGATATAGTTATCAACAAAAAGAAACAAAAATAAATAATATGCTAAAATTAACAATAAGTTTGTAATAATTTGATTTTTTAACTATTTTTAAAAAATCTTAAATAAGAAAATTCATATTTTATATTTTTCGAACTTTTAGTTATTTTTGCGTGTTTCATATTTTAATATTTCACAAATCACATCTTATTTATTGAGGTTTAGATATTTACATTATTTATAACTTGGATTAATTTATGATTTTCTTAAAAAAAATATTAATTTTTATTTTTATTTTTATTTTCTTTACAAATTTTAATTTGATTTTTTGAATAATTTCAATGTTTATACGGGGTATATTTATTTGAATTTCAAACATGTTTTTTAGTTTGTACTCCCTCCGTCCCTAAATTTACTTCCAACTTTCCCTTTTCGTCCGTCCCAAAAAGAACTTCACTTTCCCTTTTCGGCAAAGAATTTGTGGTTCACAACATTTCTCTCTCCTCTGCATAACTCTCCACCACACAATTCCCACTTTCTTAATCACCATGTCACTTTAATTTGGAAGAACATTTAGGGACGGAGGGAATATGTATTCCTATTTTATTTTTTACTAATTTGTAAATAGTTCTAATTATTTTACATATTTTTATAAGTTTTTTAAAAGTATTACCTTATTTTATACTCTCTCCGGTCCTAAATAAACTTCACACTTTCCTTTTTGGGTAGGTCCAAAATAAACTTCACACTTCTTCTCCCTTTCTTATTTAGCAAATTATCTACATCAAAAGAGTGCAAAACAGTGTCAAACAGTGTCAAACAGTGTCAAACAGTGTCACAACAGTGTTCTCTACAATAAAGTCAAATTTATTTTCTTAATTTGTGTGAAGTCAAAGTGTGAAGTTTATTTAGGACAGGAGGGAGTATTTCTTGTTGATAATTTTGGCGTTCCTTAACTACTTTAAACTTTTTTCTTAAACATTTGAATTTGTTTATATTTTTAAGATATTAAATTTTTATTTTCTAGTTTCATATTTTTATTTTTACTTTTGTTTTACATATTTCTGATTTTTTAATATTCAATTCCTTTTCTTTTATTTAAATTTTTTATTTTTATTTACTTGTTTTCGTTTTTGTAATGCAAGTTTAGAATCTTTTTTATTGACTTTGAGTTTTTTTCTTATTTTGTAAATCAAGTTTGATTTTAGTGTTTAGATTTTCACATTTCCTATTCAAAAAAAATACTCCGTATTGTAACTGATTCATTTAGGAAATTGAACAGTAGAGCACCAGGTGAAGATTTGAGTTCAAATAATAGAATTAAAAAATGCTTTAAACACAATGTACGTTCACGGATGAAGGAAGAATAGAGCTCCCGGTAGGCCGGTATGTATGTAGCCTATTTGTGAAAAGAGAAGCTTACTTGTCTTTTTTTGAAAGAAAAACTAAAGTGTGAAAAAAGTGATATTATTTTCACTTTCATGATCAGTTGTGAACTTTTCCCTTGTATAATACCAGTATACCACAACTGCCAAATGGACTGACTGGGCTGAATAAATTTGTGAGGATATACTTCACAAAACAAACAAAATACCCCTCCCATTCAACTTTGTCAACTTTCCTTTTTTGTTTGTCCCAAATAACTTTATCACTTTCCTTTTAAAGCAATGTTTTGTGACTCTGTTCATTTCTCTCTACTCTGTACAAACTTCAATCGCACAAATTTTACTATTCTAATTTCCCACCTGACATCAACTTGACAAAGTGTAGTGAAACGGAGGTAATATGAATTACACTATACGTAGCTGTGTTAATTAAAGAGATTGAGCACAATTTACTTTTACCCAATTTAGTTGTCCCGGTTTCTTTTTTAGGACGTATCAAATTAATTGTCCCGTTTCTTTTTTGGAAAGAAATTTACTCAAAAAATAGCTACAATGCCTCTACAGTACCAAAATCTCTTATTTTTCACAAAACTCGCATTAATTATCTTAAACTACGTAAAAAAGCAAATAGGTCAATTAATTAAATACAAAGAGAGTACATTCTAATCGGTGGATATCACACCTCACATACTCAGTAACATAATAGTATGTGAATTACTCATTATTCATGTACTTTACTTTGACTACATTTTATTTATTAATGTATGTGAATTATTTTTTTTTAAATATTGTTGAATTAGTCTCATTACAAAGTTCCATAATCTGATTTTAAAAAGTTTTTTACTAATAGAGAATTAAATATGATGGTCAAAGTTGTGCATTGACAAGCGTGAAAAGGGGAATGTTGCAATTAAAAAAGAACGGAAGAAGTACTTTGTAAGCATCTAATAAATATTGACATGACAGTTTGTCCCAACTAGAAGATCCATAGATTGATGTCGGTAAAAGTGAGGGCCGGTTATAATTTGAAAACCGCATGCTCTCAAAAAGCATGTGTATCATGCCCCCATCGAAGATTATTATGTGTAACTAAAGGCACTCATAATTTTTTTGAAGAACATGATATATCATAGCCATGGACCGGCTCCGGGCCGGTCCTGGGCAGGCTTTTTATTGTTGAGAGAAGGCCTGGAACCGGCCCGGGTTTCCACCGGGTCCAAGCCGATCTCGGGCCGGCCCTATTATTTTTTTTTGCTTTTCTAATTAACCCCCGACCCCCTCACCCCCCCCCCCCCCCCCAAACACCCCTAAAACACCCAGCCCATCTAGGGAAAACAAAATTGAAAAAACAAAAAAAAAAAAGCCTGAACCGGGTCCGACCCGGCCGGTTCCAAAGGAAGGGCAGCCCGGAACCGCCCCGCCCTAACTCCCCGGGCCGGTCCTAGGCCCGGAACCGGTACCCGACTCCCAGGCCAGACCTGCACAGTAGCAGGTCGGTCTGGTTCACGGGCCGGTTGGCCCGGTACCGGTCCAACACTAATATATCCTAGCAAGATGACTATTTGGTTTATATATGTTCATATGTTCCCAAGATTTATGTCACTGACACATACTTCGTATAAGAAGATGCAAATGTATCAATAACAAAGTAGAACTATGTGTTAACTCTTGGGAGGATTATTCAAGAAAAGGCTAAAGGGTCAAATAGGTACATGAACTAACTTAAAGTGTTCAATTAGCCCCTTATTTAGAAGGTTCTGTCCCGTGGTCGCCAATTGGGGCGGTTCCTGATGGAATTTTTTGATGAAATTTTTTGAGCATCTTCTTCATCAAGTCTAGTTTACCCATATCAAATTTCAACTAAAAATTAAATCGGGAAGACAGTCAAATGATTTTCCAAAATGTACTGCGATGTTTAACTGCTCAGTTATCTTCAAAAAATCATTTGACTGCCTTCCCGGTTGAATGTTTAGCTGAAATTTGGTATGGATAAACTAGACTTAATGAAGAAGATGCTCAAAAAATTTCATCAAAAAATTACACCGGGAACCGCCCCAATTGGCGACGGCCGAACAGAACCTCCTATATAAGGGGCTAATTGAACATTTTAAGTTAGTTCATGTACATATTTGAACTTTTAGCCTTCAAGAAAATGACATGCATCATTTGAAGAATCTAAAAAATATTCTTCCAAGTTATTTTCAGGAGAAATGAGAATCTGTTAACTGGAAAAATGACACTACACAACATCATCAACGTTAACTGTTTACTTGACTGATCAAAGTTCAATAATACAGAGACCAAAAGAAATTAATGTATAGGAACTAAAATCAACAAAAGCTTTATTTTATAGTACACGGACTTGGAGATACAATGACCTGGTAGTGCCACACTGTTGAGATTCTAGACACATAATGACTTACACTTGAGATTCCAGACCCATAATGACTTGGTATGATCTTAGCCGTTGATATATGAATGACCATCTGGCTGAGGACTGAGGTGGGAAACATTCAGTGGGCATGCATCAGAAGACCTGCCATGGAGGAACCATAGTCCTTATCATTTGTATGTAATGGAACAAGATTAGAAAACGTTACCGGTACATATTGTAAAAAACAATACTCTCAGTGCAGTAGATTAGATATTACTGGATCTACTGAAGGCAAGTGTCCAACAATCTTTCATACCATCCAAAGATTTTATAAGATCACAAGTTATGGAACACCTCACAAACATAAGACACAAGAATAATACTCAGCATTACATAGACTGAACCAAATGAATATGTCAAGGAACACAACAGTTACTCCACTCCAACTTCCAGATTGAGCTCGACTGAAGAAAATAATTCTTACAAAAATACCAAAATATGCAGCTCGAAGGGACTTGAATTACCTTTAAGCAATTGTGAGTCTGTGACGCCTATCCCCAGTCAAGAAATGGAAGTGGTGGGTATCCACCCTCAGCAGGTGGCATCAGAGAGGGAGGTAAAGTTCCCAAAGACGTCCCTATCTTGCCTCTTAACATATTACCTGCTATGAACACAACATATGATGTAAACCAACTAACTAAGATCGACCCTTAAATTTAATTTCAAACCTAAATGGTTTAGAGGATACACAAACTATCATTGACATTATTCAAAACGACTTCAGGCTTGAAAATGCACACCAAAAGTATCGTCAGGACAAAACAGGACTACAAATCTGACTAGAGACATTTAGAGTCAAACTGGTGCACTTCAAGGGACTGGATACTCAATGCATTGAGTTGGTATCTTGGTGACAAAAAAGCACTAGGAAATCATTTTACTCGGTCTTTCGGGTTTTGGGCATCTCTCATGTAGAAATTCAAACCAGCCGGCTATATAGGGCAAGAATAATAGTTTCCTATTTTTGTGGATCTAGAGTATCTTGAGATCTTATTTGATATATATGTATAGCTGTATATTTCTTTCCTTAAGTAGGAGTAGTCCCTAGAAATCAGGATCAACTCAAAGGGATCCTTGTGTATAAATATACCCGAATTCATCATAATAAACAAGGGAGACAATTACAATTCTGATCTCCTTCATGGTATCAGAGCCTCCGGGTACTTCAAACCCTAATTCTCATCTCCCTGACAGTCGGTCCTAATCTATTCCTCGTTTTCCCATCTTCGAGCCCTTCCTCTTTCTCTCTCGGAAATCCAGTCAAACATGGTAGAATCCGAGCAGACCTCTAGGGACTCATCATCTTCGACCACTCCATCTCCCAGCCATCCTGTCACTCCTCATATCTCTCCCAAAACCAGTGCCAATCCCATCATCAACCACTAACTAAATGGCCATAATTATCTCTAATGGTCTCACTCCATGATGATGTTTATCAGTGGACGAGGCCGTGATGATTATCTTACCGGTAAGGCTGTCCAACCAGATTCCAGTGACCCTAAGTTTAGAACCTGGAGAGCAGAAAACAATCTAGTTATGTCTTGGTTGATTAGCTCGATGACTACTGAGATAGGTGAGAATTTCCTCCTTTACACTTCAGCCAAAGAAATATGGGATGCGGCTCATGACACCTTCTCCACCAGTGAGAATACCGCAGAACTCTTCCATGTGGAGAGTATTCTACATGATCTAAGGCAAGGGGAAAACACGGCCACCACCTATTTCACCACCCTTACACGGTATTGGGCTATTGGCAGCAGGTGGATCTCTTTGAATCACACGAATGGAAGTGCCCTGATGACAGAACCTACTTCAAACAAATAGTAGAGACCAAACGCATCTTCAAGTTTCTAATGGGACTCGATAAGTCTCTTGATGAAGTGCGAGGTCGAATACTCGGAACCAAACCATTGCCAAGTCTCCGCGAGGCCTTTTTCCAGATTTGTCGAAAGGAAAGCCGCAGAAGAGTCATGATGGGGCAGTCAAATGGCCCGACCACCGATGATGGATCTGCCCTTGTGACTGTCAAAGACCACTCGGTCACTGCCGAATCTGCTGCCTGTGCTGCCCGCGGGATGCTCCAGCCACCAGAAGATAACCGGCCACGAAGAGGACACCCTTGGTGCGACCATTGTAAGAAAACTGCCCATGTCAAAGAAACCTGCTGGAAACTACATGGTAAACCAGCAGATTGGATGCCGAACAGGGTCACATCTGATCGTGAGAGCCGAGTAAACGCTGCTTCCATGGAGGCAACAAAATCCCAGAGTCAAGCTTCCTTCACAAAGGACCAGCTGGAACTGCTTCAGCATCTACTCAGCAAAGCCAGTCTGTCAATCAGCCCACAGCCACCGGAAACAGGGAACAGATCCGTGCACAGTAACGCAAACCAGGCCCTCCATGTAGCTCAACAACCATCTACGCCTTGGATAGTAGACTCAGGCGCATCAGACCACATGACAGGTGATAGATCATTGTTCTCAACTTATACTCCATGCCAGAAGCATCAAACAGTACGGATTGCCAATGGTTCACGCTCGAGAGTTGTTGGAATAGGAACCATACACCTCTCGAGCAATCTTACCCTACACTGTGTTATTTGTACCCGAACTTGATTGTAACCTACTCTCTGTTAGCAAAATAAATCAGGATCTTCATTGTGAGACTAAATTTTTTGCCAAATCTTGTGTTTTTCAGGACTTGGGTTCGGGGAAGGTGATTGGCAATGCTGAACTATGTGCAGGCTTGTATCTCCTCAGAGTAGACTCCTCTTCTGTCCCCTCTCAAAGCCACAATAATGGTAGTGTCAAACCGCAGTGTTGGTCCATTCAGAGTCATGAGTCAATAAATCAGTCCAATAAGACCGATGCCATAATGTTATGGCACTATCGTCTAGGTCATCCAAATTTCTTGTATTTGAAACATCTATTTCCATCATTATTCATTAATAAAAATGCCAAGTTATTTCAATGTGATGTTTGCCAATTATCAAAGCACACTAGAAGTACATATATGCCATGACCTTACACACCGACTCATCCTTTTTCACTTATCCACGGTGACATATGGGGTCCAACCCGAATTCCTAATGTGTCTGGGGCTAGATGGTTTCTGTTGCTAGTTGATGACCACACCCGGTTGAGCTGGACTTTTCTCATGAAAGACAAAACCGAAACTAGCCAAATCTTCAAACACTTTCATGCCATGATACGCACCCAATTTCAGGCCACCATCCAAGTGCTCAAAATCGATAATGCACGAGACTTCTTTAACTCAATTCTCAGCCCTTATCTCCAAACTTCGGGCATTGTCCACATAAGTTCATGCGTAGACACACCCCAACAAAATGGTGTGGCTGAACGCAAAAATCGCCATATCCTTGAGGTTGCTCGCTCACTACTCTTCCAATCAAATGTGCCTAAGAAATTCTGGGGTGAGGCAGTCCTCACCGCCACATACCTTATCAATCGGATGCCCTCACGTGTTCTTAAATTCAAAACTCCAGTCAAAACCTTCCTTGCCGCCTATCCTAACATTTACTCTCCCAAATTCCTCTCAAAATATTTGGATGCACTACCTTTATCCACATCTACCCTCACAGCCGAGGAAAACTTGATGAAAGAGCACTCAAATGCATCTTCCTCTGCTACTCACCAAACAAGAAAGGGTATAAATGTTATTCCCCTCTTACCAAAAGTTTCTATCACACCATGGATCTCACCTTCTTCGAAAATAAACCATTCTATCCCAATTCTGTAATTCAGGGGGAGACAGCCACTGAATATGAATCACAAAATTGGGATTGGATATCCCTCATTGATTCGGTCCCAAGTCCAAATTACTATAACCCGGTGGAAACCCCAACCAGCCAAATTCTAACAGATTCCGGCCAGCCTCTAATCAATCCGCAACCTCCAGCAGGTCCCAGCCGGCCCTCAACTCCATATGCCACCTCTCCAGGTTCACATGAGTCTCTCAAAACTCCCAAATCATCCTCCCATGAGTGTCATGCACCCAAAGCACCTCCTTCTACCTGATGAGGAAATAAGAGTCTACACTAGGAGACAACAGTCTCAGCCGCCTGCCCAGAATCAGCAAAACCAGCAGCCGAATCCGAACTCAAGAAACCCAGAAACAACACAGGAATACAGGATGAAGTTGAAATGAGTGTTGAGGCAGTGACAGGTGGGGATCTTGAGTTAGACTTACCAATTGCTCAGAGAAAAGGAGTCCGCTCATGTACTCAACATCCCATCCGCAACTACATGACCTACTCCAAACTGTCGCAGAGATTCAGGGCATGTGTGACTCTCTAGACAATGTCCAGATTCCCAGAACGGTCCATGATGCATTAAGGGTTCCCAAATGGAGAGATGCTACTCTAGAAGAACTCCATGCTCTAGAGAAGAATAGTACGTGGGTCTTAACAACTCTACCACCTGGAAAGAAAACAGTGGGGTGCAAATGGATTTTTTCAGTTAAACAGAAAGCAGATGGAGGTATTGAACGATTCAAAGCTCGCCTAGTAGCCAAGGGCTACACCCAATCGTATGGAATTGACTACCAGGAAACATTTGCTCCTGTAGCCAAACTCAACACCGTGCGAGTCCTGCTGTCCATTGCCAGGAATCAAGATTGGCCCTTATTTCAACTAGACGTGAAGAACGCCTTCCTGAACGGAGACCTAGCACAAGAAGTGTATATGGATATCCCACCTGGCTTTGAAACTGATCAAACACGAGGCAAAGTATGTAGACTACGCAAGTCACTATATGGGCTCAAGCAATCACCTCGGACATGGTTCGACAGATTCACAAAAGTACTAAAACAGGATGGCTACCTACAGTCCCAAGCCGATCATACTCTATTCTTCAAACATTTCACCGATGGTAAGATAACTATACTAATAGTATATGTTGATGATATAGTCCTCACTGGGAATTATGACGAAGAAATAAGGAGACTAAAGCTCCTATTGTCAAAAGAGTTTGAAATCAAGGATTTGGGACATCTAAGGTACTTCTTGGGACTGGAAGTAGCGAGATCAAAGGCCGGAATGGCAGTATCCCAGCGGAAGTATGCCTTGGATCTCTTAAAGGAAACCGGCATGATTGGATGTAGGCCGGTGGACACTCCTATGGACCCTAACACAAAGTTGATGCCTCGAACAGAAGAGATGGCTGTGGACAAAGAACAATATCAACGTCTAGTTGGGAAGCTAATCTACTTAACTCACACACGTCCTGATATCAGTTTTGCAGTCAGCCATGTGAGTCAATTCTTAAGCAACCCGTCAGTCTCCCACATGGAAGTTGTGTATCGTGTTCTTAGATACCTCAAGAGGGATCCTAGAAAGGGTCTAATGTTCAAGAAGACTCACAATCACTCTCTAGAAGTCTACACAGATGCGGATTGGGCTGGATCCCCTAGTGACCGAAAATAAACTTCAGGGTATTGCTCCTATGTGTGGGGAAATCTAGTGACATGGCGTAGCAAAAAGCAACAGGTGGTAGCACGCAGCAGTGCTGAGGCAGAATTCCGAGCCTTAGCTAAGGGCATTTGTGAAGGAATATGGTTAAAACGGATACTAGATGAACTCAAAGT